GCACAACTTGTCAGGGATGGTTATTCCTTTATCTTGTCCATGTGCCTCTTCTCTCTTCAGCTGAATTAGAAGCTATTTGAGAAGCAGGATCTCATCTCCTACAACCTTCTATTGTTAGTGACTCAACTTAGAGGCATGTGCTTTTGTCGGCATCCGGGACACCGTCATTAACAAAAAGGAGACTGACCCTGAGTGTCGTTGGGCACATAGCAGGGCAGCGCACCTTTCCAGGGGACCTGTGGCAGACACACTGAGGAGGCAGAAGTTTTGGAAAGGCCAACAAATGGAAACAATGTGTTTGTAGAACGGGAGGCGTGCTGCATGGCGATGGCACTGGGAAATGCAGGGCGAGCACGCCATGGGCTTTCCAGTTGGACGCTGCTTTCAACAACAGGTTCGGGTGCTACTAATCTGCTCTCCCTCTCTTCTCCTTGTGTCCATTCATGTGCTTTTCATTCAACAAAACTCATTGAACCCCTACTATGCCCGTGGTTCTGAAATTCTAGAAATAGGGAGTGAGGCATCCCTGCCCTTAGGGCTTGTGAGGAAGCTGACAAACACCAGGTCACATTCCAGGTGACGAGGACCATCATACAGTCTTCTACCCAGTGTCTCCGATGCCCAGAAGTTCTGCATTTAAATTAGGGGATCTCCTCCCAGCCCTTTGGTGAGGTTTCTCTTAACTCCTCGTGTCAGAAAAGCTGGGCTGCAAAGGGCTTCACGGCCAACAGACTTGGCTTTAAGTTTTAGTCCTGTCATTGACTGGGGGACCCTGGGACGATTTCGCACCCTGACCTTCAGCCATCTCCTGCTTTCAATTGACTGCCCCTCTGCCCCAAAAGCACCCATCAGTGATGCTCGGTGATAGAATTCTGTTAACCATTTCTCTTAAAATCAGCTCACTGAAGCCATCTCAGTAGAGGGTGTGGTTGGACCCCGCAGGAGAAAGATGAGTCCTGTCGTTGTCAGTATTGGTGGGGTCAGCGATGTGGGTCTGTGGTCGTCCCACACAGTCTGTCCCAGCCATGGAACCCAGGGCATGGTCCGTTTGCAACCTTGCAGCTTTGGCCTTGCCACAGATAACCTTCCTGCAGCCCTCTTTGCTCAGAAACCAGAGCTCGGCATGGCCACCTGCTCTGAGGGCCTCCTGACTCTACCAGTGTTCTGGCTTCCCTGGACCTACACACGGCGACGCCCCAAACATCCAGGACTGTGTTCTCTCCCTCTACCCCCACCGCACATACAGCACCCTCTCTGAAGGCACCGCCTTCTCCCCCAGTGGTGCCCTGGAGGCCACCCTCTCCACACCTGCACGATGCAGGGTGGTCTAGTGCTCACCCAGCAATCGCAGACCAGTTCCAGCCTGGCGAAGCCAGCGAGCATCTCCACTGTTTGGTGGCCTGTGGGCAGCATCTCCAAGTAGGGCTCAGCCCCTGCCACATTGTCCTCCCTCGGTCCTTCCCCTCCCCTTGGAGCACCGTAGGGTTTCCCTGTGTCTTCTAGACACTCTTTATTGCAGTTAACAATTCTTCCTACTCAACTGCCCTTAGTTAACCCAGGCTGTGGTTTCTGTCTCCCGATTGGACCCTGGCTGTTCACCTTCCCAGGAAAGAAGAGATGAAAATATCGGCATTTCAGATTTATTTTGCCAATCAAATGAGAAAGCCCACACACAGCCCAAAGCACATGGCTTTGCCTTGGCCACGACTTGCTTTTCACAGAGAACAAGGGAAACTACTGTCGGTGAGGGTCAGGCACTTGGCAGGATGGTGCTGACGTGCATGTGTTTAGCCCTAGAGGAGGAGACAGAGGGCCAGAGAGGCCAAAGAGATTGCTTCAGATCTTTCACACAGTGTTGGATGGCGCTGAACCCAGGAAACCAGTCTTCCGAGTCCACATTCCACACACCGCACGGGCTTCCTCTTAGAGCCTCAAAACGTCCTTCTTTTCACCTGAATGAGAGCAATTTCCCTACATAACAAACCCCCTCCATCTGAGCACTCGCTCCATTCGTAAATCTGGGCACACGAGACCACCTGAGCAGCAGGGGCGGCGTTTGCTGGAGTCCTTTCAGCATGTCTCACCTGAGAGCGCCCCTCCTAAGAGAACGGTCTGGATTGTTGGGATGTCTCACCTGAGAGCGCCCCTCCTAAGAGAACGGTCTGGATTGTTGGGAAGGCTCAGGACAGTGGTTTCTCTTTCTCTCTGATTCAGCCTCTGCGTGACCCCAAGGAGACTACAGATGCTGTGGCCCTTGACAAGGATGTTCTGGGCTGTTAAAGCTTTGCTTTGAGAAACCCCTTTGGGGTACTTAAAGTCAAATTTATGGAATTTCCCATCAGCAGCGGACCAATGATACGGTTTGTTGCTTGAACATATCTCCCAAAAGGCCGAAGTCTTTTTTACATTCACTGGTGCTTCCCCGGTACTTAGAACAGAGCTTGGTATACCATACACACTGTGTAAATGTTTTTCAAGTGGATGAACTCACATGGTCAAGGGTTTGCCATATTTTTTACATGGGACCCTTCTCCAGGCTATTTTAAAATAGGGCTTTATTTTTAATGCAAGAGAGGAGGCGTGTGTGTATACCTCAACAGGAACATTACTGCTTTGTAAATCGGCACACCACCGTGGCTGAGACGATGTATTCCAGTGGCCAAACCGGCCCTAATCAAGCTTCCCCGCCCTCTGCTTCGCCCTCTCTGGGTGTTTGTTGTATCTTCTGCTATCAACGCTGCTGACGTTGTGTCAGGCACGAACGAGTGGGTGCCGTCCCGGGAAGTAACAGTGGCTTTTTAACTTGAGCCCTTTGGAAGGGTCTGTGCAGTGCCTGGCAGAGTGTTCTGTACGTGGCGGCCACTCCATAAGGGTCTGTTGGTGGCGACAGTGTTGTGATGATGGCAAGATCTTAAAATAAAGGCTTGACAGACAATGGGAATTCAGGCAGGAGAGGAGGGCTTAAGAGAGCTCTTGGCGTTTGTGATTTGACAGTGTCCCTGAGTGTCCTAAATCACGACCAGGAAGCCACCCACACTTTCTGTGCTTAATAGCTCAGTATATTTGTATTGCAGTTCATGATAAAAAAATCTGAACCCAAGTAGCAAACAAAAAGAACATTCCCTACATGCGCTGTGGATGATCAGGACAGAGGCGAGACTGTGCATGTTAAACTCCTCAGTACTTTTTAAAAACCATGCTTCCTATTTCACCGAGGTTATCTTTCTGGTTTTCCCTTTTAATATAGTGAGAAAGGAAAAAAGAATATAGAAAAAGAGGGAACTCATTCTTTTTAGAAATATGGGCATGTGAACCAGTATCTGCCCCTGCTCAGTTAAGTCTCCTTTGAACAGAGTTGTCCCAGAGTCAGGGGCTGATGAGTCCAAACCTTCCAAGTGCAGAGTGTTAATGGCGCAGTTGGGTAGAGCTGTCTCACCTGACGCAGGGTTCATTCACTGCCCGCTTCTTTCATCAAGTGCTCAGGGAGCGCCGGCTCGGTGCTAAGGTGCGGCACCTGTTCAGTGTTAACCCTGTGAGAGGCCGTGTGTACGACTCAGAACAGGAACACCCTGCAGGTGGGTATTTTGCCCGTATTGCACCCTCATCACTTGGGATTCTCCCTAGTACATCAGAGGGCTAGATAAATGCTTGTTGAGTTGGTGAATGGTGGCAGCACTCATGGAGTTAATAGCCCACAAAACTGTACTAAGTTTCTTCTTGTTCAGTTAGCACTTTCAATAATATCTGAGTGAAGTGAACATCAGGGTAGCGAACAAAAGGAGAGGCAAGTCCCCACTGTCCTCAAGCAGCCCTGCTGGGGGTGGAAGGAGGTGTGGCTGTGCTGCCGTCCTCTTTCCTGCTGGCGGCGTGTGCAGGGAGGGGTGGCTCTCACCTGCGTTGATGGAAATCAGCCTCAGGACCATGGAGCTGCACGTGCACTGGAACATTTCAGCTCCACTTTGTCTGATGCTGGAGAGGCCGCTCCTTCCCTCTTTAAGCCCAGCCGTGGTGCCTGCACCTTTGAACCGGCCGCTGCAGAGCAGGTGTCCTGGGGCGAAGGTGGGGATCCTTGCTGAAATTTAGTGGCAATTCCGTTCTTCTTAGCTGGGCATAATTTTGATATGCACTGAAATACTGGATGAGCTAAACACTTCAAGAGAAAAGAATTCAGCCCAAGAGTTTGCTGCTTCCTTGAACAATATCCAATATCACAGAATGTTCCAATAGTACCATGGTGGGTTCACCCCTCACGATGTGAGAGAGGTTCATTCAGTCATTCTTTCTTCCCTCTCTCTGCTCCTTTCTCTTCACAAAAGCCTAAGTGAGTCCCAGGTTCTCTGTTTCTTGTGGATACAGTTGCCTGCCACCGGGCAGCTCTTTTAAAATGGGGGAGACTTTGCAATATTTTATAACCTTCTGGGGGCAAGAATGATTGGCAGTGCTGATGGCCAATCATGACCCTAGTGCTCCATGAGAGGGGGGCCTCAAAGAGAGCAGGCCTCTCTGTTCTTTAGTAACATTATTAACCAGCAAGCTGTCATATTTGGGGGCAAAGACTGCTCATTACTACTTTATGGACACTGCATTTTTCATTTATTACGGTCATGTGAAATATATCTTTCTGGAAAGGTACACACAAGCTCCTAGGACTTACTTGATGACAATAGTTAACATCCAATCTATTTTCGTCTTTACTGAGAGAGAGAGAGAGACAAAGGGAGAAAATCATTAACTGATGATGCCAGGAGGCTTTCTGCTTATAATGGACAGTTTGACCAGGGGTCCCCTGGAACACAGAGTTGCTTACATTTGCATATCTCCGAGACGTTTCTAATCTGTACAGTGGGTTTGGGGATTGACATTCAGATTTCCATCATTCCCACTGCTCTCCTTGTCCCTTACAACAGTCCTCAGGTATTACCACTCTTGTGACCGCAGTTCTGCCCTACTGCAGGCTCTCCCAGGGACAATCGTACTAATATTGCTTTTCATCTTCCTAGGTGCAAATTCAGGACAGAGCCGGGGAGACACTCTCTCCCAGCCGGACACCAGCTTTCTCAGAGCCTGCCCAGGAGGGGTCTGTACTGCCTGGGACCACAGCAGACTCTGTCTCCAGCTTAGAAAGGAGCGATGATGAAGGTGCACCGTTGATTTCATACCTGGACAGGGAAAGCTGTACTCAAGGCCCTCGGCATGAAGAAAGCCAAGGCAGAGAAGACGACACACCTGGATGTTCCTGGGAAGACCCAGGATATGGGCTGAGCCCCCCAGAAGCCACCCATGCAACTCTGTCCCCCTGTGAGCTGTCGGTGTGTCTGCCTACAGAGGGCAGCGATGACCCCAGGGAGCCGGAGACTCTGTCTGTTTCTCCCCCTGCACCCACAGATACTGTCCCCACCCTGGGAACTGTGTGCCATGGGCTGAGGGGCAGAGAAGCAGAGTGTTTGATGGAACATCTTAGAGCAGGTGACCAAGGGACAGGTGGCACCATGGACCCCCCGGCTGGAGCCCCCGTTCATGAGCATTTGCCCCAAGAATTCTGCTCCACAGACTTGCAGCTGGTGGAAGGTCAAAGCAAAGTGTCTGGCTTGTGTTTTCCTGATGAAGGGACAGTGGAGGGTGTTTTCCAAGGACAGGGTTCAGAGCCTGCACAGTCTATAGGCCAAAGCAACCAGGACGGAAACATGGTGGCATTTCCTGTACTTAGCAGTGCCCTCCCCTGGGACACTTCACAAAAGGCCAGCGAAGGCACCACAGGGGAGCAGCTAGCCAGGGGGGAGAATTCCACCCCGACTCGGGCTGCCACAGGGCAGGGCAGGCTGAGCCCCAGCACCACAGGAGGGCTTGAGGACAGACAGTCCCTGTCCTCTGAGAATTCTTTGGTGCAGCATGAAGAAGGTGAGGACGTCCCTGGGCCCCACGCCCCGGGCCCCACAGATACACCAACCAGCCATAGTTCGGTTGCGAAGTTTCCTCAGGAGCCGGCAACATTACCTGCTAATCTTGAGGGTCTTCAGGGGACCAGGGAGAGTGGGGATGCACCAACTGGTACCACTGCCACCAAAGTCCACCCAGCCAAATACCTCCCCATTTCAACTGCTGAGAACAGTTGTGCAGATGGCCCCAAGGAGAGCTTACCTCAGCCGCCAGGTGAAAATATCTTTCAACATCCTTCCAACGTACAGTCGGGTCATATTTTGAATGGCTCCACCCCTGAGTCCACAGAAGAGCTTTGCACGGCCCCTAGAGGACCGGGAGTCTGTGTCTGTGCCCCCCTGCTCCCAGAGGGAGAGCTCGGCCAGGACTCCTCTCTCCAGGTCGATAACCAGCGTGGAGACAGGAGCCGGACTGTGGATGGAGTGGCCAATAGGAGCTTGGAAGAGCAGTTCCAGGAAAAAGGAAGAGAAACAATGCAGAGGACCTGGCAGGAGAGCTGGCCCCGCCAGGGCTCTCCTTCTGAAGATCATGTCCAGGAAAGTTGGGCCCCGATGCCTGCTGCACGAGGGGAGACAGTCCCGGCACCTTTGGACCACCCGTCAGCAAGCTGCAGGGAGGAACGGAGGCCGTGCTCAGGCCCAGGGACCAGCATGTCCACGGTGGACGAAGTGACTGTGGAAGATGACAGGCAGACTGTGAGCAGCATTCTGCCTTGCTCCCATATCCCCCTGGAGGAGTCTACGGGCAGTGGACCAGGACACGGGGAAGCAGCCCACAAGCCCGAGAGGATGGCTCTAGGGGCTTCTGTTTTCCAGGCCTGCCCTCCAGGACAGCCGGCAGATTCTGAGTGCAAGGAGTCAGCTGCTGGTGCCATGACTCCTGCTGGGGCCTGGGCCGTAGGTGACACAGGACAGGCAGGTGCTGCTGGGCCTGAACTGGACCCCTCTGAGCCTGCACCATCGGCTGGTGGTCCTCAGGCTGAACCTGGCTCAGCCCTTGCTGATAACAGAGATATCCATGAAGGTCAGAAGCCAGCCCGGCGCACCTATTGGCGCTGCCTTTCTGCCCGGTATCTGAGCCAGCGCCGGCTCCTGGAGTCGTCTGTGGACCCTGTCGAAGAGGAATTGTGTGTCACAGATTTGCCATCTGAAGCTTCCACAACTGGAGGGCAGGAAACTGTTCACAGTGTGAGTCAAAACCAAGAGGAAAAACAGCTTATGGCGGCACTCCCTGCCTTCTTGAAATCGTTTCTGACCAGCCCGAAAATCCTCGAGTCCTCTGTAGATCCCATTGATGAAATAGGTGTGGTGGAGTGGGCCAGGCTGGAAACCCGGGAGCCGTCTGCATCCACCCTGGGGCTCAGCACAGAGGACAGGAAACTGGAGGACGGACACTTGGGCCAGAGAGCAGAAGTCAGACCTGCCAGCTCGCCAGTTCCATGCCCCCAGCAAAGTGGGGAAACCATTCCAAGTACTGACCGAAACCAAGAAGCCAGTGAGCGGGGGGAGGCTGAGCAAAGTCAAAACAGCGGAGCAGATCTTGTATCCCCCACTTTACCTCTTTCTAGCGGTCTTGCAGTCATGACTCAGGCGTCTGCTGGAGTTGACATTCAGAACACCACAGGTCAAGTTCATGACATCCCCCCAAACTGTTTAGTGGAGCCCAGCAACTGTGAGCCTACGCTTTCTGCCTCAGAGGAAAGCGGGGAGAGGGGGGGTGAAGGTGGGAAACAGTCGCCCTCCTCTGGTGGTCTTATTCCGCTGCCTTTTACTTCATCTCCTGAAGGAAACATCACAAACTTTCCAATAAGCCACAAAATTGAGGAACCTGAAAAAGAGACGCCCCAAAGTGGGGAAACCAAAACCGCAAGCCGATCCAGCTCCCCAGCAATGGCTTTGGCATTCACTTCAGGAGAACATGAGTCAGAGACAGCTCCTAAAACACAGCAAGACCCATGTCAACTGGGCCCCACCCTGGGCCATGGGAGCAAGTCAGGGGGGGAGAGGCCCCGGCCTATGGCAGCCCGGACAGGCAGCCCCCCAGCGACTGCTACAGAGGAGGGCAAGAAGAAGCAAGAAACCTCAGGAAGTGGACGTTTAGCTGAGGGAATGAAGAAGAAGATTCTGTCCAAGGTGGCCGCCCTGAGGCTGAGGTTGGAAGAAAGGGAGAATGTCAGAAAAAACTCAAGGTTTCCTGCAAAGGTTCCTAAACTCGAGACGTCGATATTATGCACCAGTGAGCAAAAAGACTCAAAAGAGCTGCTTTGCAAAAGAGAAGGAAAAGGTGAGACCCCATTGCTCTCCGTCACTGTTAAAGCTTGGGTTTGCTGACCAGTAGGTGTTGTGTTCCTTGGTCCTTCTGAGTCCCTTGCCATTAAGTTGAGTGTCCACCAGGTGGGCACTGACGCTATGGTTGTGAGCACAGGGCTTGGCAGATAGACTCCCCTGGTTCTCAAACCTGAGTGGCCTCAAAGTCACCTGGAGGGCTTGTTAAAATGCGACCTGGGCTCCAATAACAAGGTGTCTGATTCCAGGTGTGGGCTGAGACGTTGCATTTCTAACAAGTTCCCAGGTGGGCTTTGGGGAGAGCTTGTAGCTGTGTTTAATTCAGGGAGTGTGATTAGGATGCTCTTTTGTTTAATTATCCTTCAAAAATATTGTATAATGATAAGCAGAAGCATTCATCAATATAGCTAATTAGTATAATTAAGTAGACCACAGCTGAGCAGAATTTCCCAGAAATAAACATTTAGGTACAGTTTGGGAGTCTCTTCCTCAATCATTGATTTTCATTACAAATGGCTTTATTGTACATTAGGTTTCCTTTCAAAGTTGGGTGTAAACTTTCTTTCCCACTCACCCTTCACTTTACCTGAGTCTAAAGGCTACAGGAGGGGCCAAGTCTCTGCTCCAGGTTTCAGAGCCCTGAGGCCCAGAGGGCTCATCATCAGGAATCACTTTAACCCCCAGTTCCATCTCGTAACCCGAATTTTAGCCTCTTCTGTGTCAGAACTCTTCTCTCGCTTGCTGTAAGACCTGGCGGAAGTCAGAAGAGGAGACAGAGCAGCAGGCGAAGCCCTCGGTGTGTCGGAGCCGGGCGCTGTGGTCCCCATAGCTCCCAGAGAAGGGTTTTCCCCTCCTGACCGAGCCTGCAGACTTCTGGGTGGTGCTTGTCCCTCGCCACCCCCATCCACAGGCCGGCAGCCCTGTGTCAGAAAGGATCAAATATGGGACTTCTGACAAGTTGGAGGCGTAGGTGGAAACACTTTGCTTCCTCGAACAACCAAATCTAAAAACAACAAAGTTTTAACAGCAATAAATGCAACCAAACCACAGAATATTGTAACAATACGGAGTCCGAAAACAACACACCACTCAGCTAAACAGGTGAGAGGGGTGAAGCCAGCAGCAGAGTGGGTCGGGCAAAAAAAGATCCCCCGACCAGGGCCGTGTGCAGGTAGCCGAGGGTGTGGATCCCAGGCGCGGGGTAGCTACGGGCGGGCCCAGACAAGGTGCGGCGTGGCTGGCTGTGTGCGGTCGTGCATTTGTGCGCAGATAAACCAGTGAAGCGACGCGCATTGAGACAGACCGCACAGGCCCAGCGCAGGGCAGCGGGCTCAAACATTTGCGCTCAGATAAACAGGCGCGGGCCAATGGTGAGGCAGACCAGGTGAGCAGAGAGGACCGCCATTGTTCCCTCTCTGACCCCGCCCCCACATACAGCATCACAACCCAGCGACCTGGGTGACCCCGCCCTGGTGAACACCTAAGGCGCCTCTCCTCATATGTGACAGGTGCAAACAGATCAAAACATGGCTCAAGAACAACTCAGAGCCCTAGAGCCGATAAATCTAAGTGATGAAGAAATAGCCAAACTTTCAGATGCACAGTTCAAAACACTGGTGATCAGGATGCTCACAGAACTGGTTGATTTTAGTCACAAATTAGAGGAACATATAAAGGCTAAACTAATTGAAATGAATGGAAATGCACAGGAAACCAATAGTAATGGAAAGGAAACTGGGACTCAAATCAAAGAAATGGACCAGAAGGAAGGAAAAAATGAGCAAACAGAAAAGGATGAAGAAACAAGAATTTAAAAAAATGAAGAGAGGCTTAGGAACCTCCAGGACATCTTTAAACGTTCCAACATCCGAATTATAGGAGTACCAGAAGGGGAAGAGGAACAGTCACGAATGGAAACCTTATTTGAACAAATAATAAAAGAGAACTTCCCCATTCTGGCAAAGGAAATAGACTTCCAGGAAATCCAGGAAGCTCAGAGAGTCCCAAAGAAGTTGGACCCAAGAAGAAACACACCAAGGCACATCATCATTACATTAGCCAAGATTAAAATGAAGGAGAGAATCCTAGAAGCAGCAAGAGATAAGGGGACAGTCACCTACAAAGGAGTTCCCATCAGACTGTCAGCTGATTTCTCAAAAGAGACCTTATAGGCAAGAAGGGGCTGGAAAGAAGTATTCCAGGTCATGAAATCCAAAGATCTACAACCAAGATTGCTCTATCCAGCAAAGGTTTCATTTAGAATGGAAGGACAGATAAAGTGCTTCCCAGATAAGATCAAATTCAAGGAGTTCATCATCACCAAGCCCTTATTATATGAAATGTTAAAGGGACTTACCTAAGAAAAAGAAGATAAAAAAGATGAACAGTGAAAGGACAGCAAACTCACAGTTACTAAGAACCACACCTAAAACAAAAGCAAACTAAGAGGACAGCTAGATCAGGAGTGAACCGTAGTAATGAAGATCACATGGAGGACTAGCAACAGGGGAGTGGGAGAAGGAGAAGGGGGGAGAAGGTACAGAAAATAAGTAGCATAGACAGTAGATAGAAAATAGATGGGGGGAGGGTGAGAATAGTAGGGGAAATATAGAATCTAAAGAACTTCAGACACGTGTTCATGAACTAAAGGGGGGATGGTGGGGGAGGGGTGTGCAGGGTGGAGGGGAATGAAGGGGGGAAATAGAACAAATGTAATGGCATAATCAATAAAATAAATATTAAAAAGAAAGAAAGGATCAAATATGAAGCCGTCACACAAAACTATCTTCTGAAGAGTTTGGAGGGGTCCAACCAGATTGTTAGTATACATGGTTTTAAGCAGATTTAAAGAGACAGAAGTGACATTTTAGAAGATCTCTAACGTGGGTTTACCCCAGAGGGAAGGGATCTGTTTAAAATGCTTGCCTACGGTTATTCAAGTTGCCCACAGGAGAAAGGACACGCCGATGACCACACACTGTTGGGGGGCTTGGTCTCAGTGGCCACACAGCCCCCCTGAGCTCAAAGGGCAGTCAGAACAGGGTGCAGCATTTGGGGACGTGTGGTACCCAAATGCTGCACAGGTGGTCACGCACCCGTGACCTGGTCAGGTAGGACTTGCGGGTGGGGAATGACTTGGATGATTCTGAAAGAAGTTAAACAATCTGAGTAACTTTTTTTCCAGACATTCGAGACTTAGTACAGCAACACTGCCAGGCCTCCTCTTGGCTCCTCTGTCCGAGCTGGTCCCTCTGTTTCACACAAACGGGGCTCCTTTTCGGTGCCCCAAGCCTCCCAAATCCAAGCTGGCGTTGCATCTCCCAAAGACCCTCACTTAATGCCACTGCTCATTTTATGCCCTTTCCTCTGCTCCCCAATTTTCTGTGTTCAGAACTTACAACAGACAGTGGGTGGGGTTGGCAACCTCTCCACAAACTGCCCATGATCACATAGTGCTGGAAAGGCCCTTGAGGAAATGCGTCCCAGATGAGGTGGCTTGGCCAACTCTGAACCAAGGGTTCGGGACTCTGGGCCCCGACACCCAGCGCAGCTCGCAGGAGCCAAGGGGACGGAGATGGGGTTTGCCATCAATAAACACTTGGTATATTTCCTCTCTGCCATAATATTGTCAGTAACTTCAGCTACTCTCTAGTTGAGAATGTGTTCCCCAAGCAGCCCATTATTGCTCCCTGGGAAGAAGATAAGCCTGTAAATGTGAATTCTGTTATTCAAGGTCTGTTGGCCTCGGGGAGAGTTGAGAGGCTTCATGCAGCGATTCTTTCACATATTGACAGCGGTGGGATTTCAGGGGACACAGCAAACGAGCATCAGTTTCGATGACTTTTGTCTTGGCTCTGAGTTATATGACATTCTATATTACCAAAGCCGCAGAGTTATGGAACTTGGGCTCTAACCAACAGACACCACATTTGCAGGAATTCCAGCCACCTGGCGCGCTCCTCTATCCTTGTCTTGTTCTGCTGTCAATGCTGCCTCCCAGTGGCTGCCCTGAGCAATTACACATTTGCCTGGCTTGTGGAGCTCTCATTCCTGATCTTAAAAAGCGATATTCAAAAATCTCCTCCCAACTCTGGAAATCATTTCCTTATCGCTCCTATTTCATTCAAGCAGATGTTTCTCTTTTGCTAATGAAATTGGTATCAGACACACAGCAATCTTCTGAAAAGACAAAGGTAATCAGAGGAAAGATGAATGAATACTTTTCAGCAAAAAACTATTGTTGAGCTGCCTTTTACATCTGAGGGCTTAACCACAATCACCTGGATGATCCAGATTTTATTCTACTCTCTAATCTCCAGCTCTGATTTCGACCTGGACGATCTGGTGATCATTAAAGAGCATCTTTTTTGGAACCAGGTCCTACAGGCTAGAAGGGCAGTATCTAGGTACCTAAAATCCTTCTCCCTCATCTTTCTTTTAAAAAGTCCCTCAAGTTATATTTCACAATGTGTGCCACAGACCTTACTCAAGGGATTTTAAGTATTGAAAAGTAATACGGCCCCGGCTGGTGTGACTCAGTGGACTGAGTGCTGGCCTGTGAACCTAAGTGTTGCTTGTTCAACTCCCAGTCAGGGCACAGGCCTGGGCTGCAGCCCAGGTTCCTGGTTGAGGGTGTAGGAGAGGCAACCACACATGGATGTTTCTCTCCCTCTCTTTCTCCCTCCTTTTCTCTAAAAATGAATAAATAAAACCTTAAAAAAAAAACAAAAAGTAATTACATAGATTGATTTGTTCATTTTCCTAGTATTGAGGCCACATGGCCCCTCAGACATTTGGTTTTCTCATCCATAGGTCAAGGGTCATATTTATTTTCCTTGTCTCTTGGGATTGTTGTGAGAATTAGGAGAGATGAGGTAGAAAAGTCTTTTGTCTGCTGTAAAGCTCTTTGCAACTGTTACAAGAACGCTGACCTGCCAATCTCTCTCCCCCAGCTCCGGTACTGCTGAAAAAGATCCAAGCCGAGATGTTTCCCGAACACTCTGGAAATGTAAGATTAAGCTGCCAGTTTGCAGAAATTCATGAAGAATCTACTATCTGGTGGACAAAAGATTCAAAACCAATAGCACAGGTGCAGAGAAGGTGCGGTATTTGCCCCTGGCGACTCTTCATAATTGTTGCTTATTTCAGCACATGGTTCTAAAATAGAATAATACATGATAGGAAGTAAAACAGAAACGCGGAGTAGCAATTCCACCCAGAATATCCCGGAAGAGTGAGTGAGGGAAGCCAGGCGTCTGGATGGGGAATGATGGCAGGGTCTGGCCCTGGCTCTGCGTCGTTGGGTTCTGTGGCCTTAGAAAGTCACAAAACCTTTCGTTACATATAAACATGTGATTTAAAACCTTCGGTAGCACAGCTTTAAATTTTAACTTTTAAAACCATTACGTTTTCATGCTATTCGGGGAACACGTGAAATCGCCTTCTGCTCTGCCGGGCTCTGTGGCCCCAGAGTGTCAGGGCGCTCTTCCATGTGTCTGTGAATTTGCTGTGTTTTCTGTCTCACACGTTCCCCTTAACCTGGTGAAGACCAAACAAAGCCAAGAAGGTAAATCAAAAGGAAAAGAATCCTTGTGGCTGCAGAAAAGTGGCCGCTGTGGAGGGTGGTGAGCAACCTTTAAGGGGGAAGAGCCATGAGTTTCTGGGGCACCAGGCTATTGGAGGGGCGGGGGAGTCATTGCCAAGAATGTTCCATGTGGGATGAATCTGACTGATAGCTTCTTAAAGCACCTTTCTGGGGATAAATGCTTGTTCAGGAGAACTGAGGGACTCAAGCTTCATCCGACACACCTGAGGAGGTGTGGATCGTTCTGGAACCAGGCTACCTGGTTTGATGGAAACCACCATAACCAAGACAACTCTCAGAAACCTCTTTCAGCCAAAGGGGGTCCCTGTTCATCTCCCTGAGTCACAGGAGGTGTTCCTATCCCTTTAATCTTGTCACAAGCAGACTGAAAAAGAAAGAAAAATAGGAGTTTTCTACATAATCCAATCAAACATGTCTGCTTGGATTATGTCTGAAAGTTAATGCTCCAATGCAGCAGTGGTAGGTTTGAGCCACAGTTTTGCTTCCTTAGTGTTACTGCTGAAGTCTCACTGGATCGTCACCGACGTGTTAGTGAATCTGCTTTGCTTAAACTGTCATCCTTACCTGCTTGTCACACGCATGGCTTAAGAGGAATTAGAATGGAGAAGCAATGGCTTGAGTTTTAAATCAAGGCTATCTCCAGAGCTTTATCAAAAAGGAGTACTAATTATTCATTAATTTTTTTTCTATAGCTGTCAGCCAAGTGCAATTAGCCAGCATTGTCTGCCACTTGGCTTGAAACTTGGCATTGGCGCCTGAGTCTTCCTGGTTCCTTTTCCTTTCAAGGTGTCTTTAGAGAACCTAACCTCCCTCCAGAGGACGTGAGCATTAGTAGCAGGCGATTTACTGATGACACGTGGCCGGGGCCTCTCAAGTCTCGGTGGCGTTTGCTTTCTTTCTCCTTGGCGACCCCGTCTGGATTAGGCGCACCGATTTGCTTTCTCTCTGCTAATACTTGAGCATATTCGGAAGTCATAATTCCTTCATATATGAAGAGATCATTTGTATTATTTCCCATGGGATTTCAGATGTTATCAAATTTCTTTCCCCTTTAATTCCAGTTGGCGGTTTCCATTACAAGTCCTTCCATGAGTCACTTAGCAACAGCAAAGACGCCCTTTTTCTTGTCTCTCAGTGGGTCTGGGTTTGCAGTTGGTTTTGAAGTTTTCAATTCTTCTTCAAGCATGTGTCTTCTGGACTAGTGACATAACTGAGGTGAATTCTGATCAGAAATTCTGATCAGCCTCCAGAATTTGCGATGCTCGTCTTTGCTTTATTAATGACAGTCCACCCTCCCAAATGTTTCTGTGTGTTACCATTGCATTTGAGAGTGAGAATGTTCAACCAGAATTGTGCCAATCATGCCCTACAGATAAAAATATCATTTAAACAGCTTATCATGATCTTGTCCAGCCCATTGGCTGAAAATATTAGGTCTGAGAAACATGACTTCCTTTCTCCTTACTCGTATTAGAAAAATGCAAGTTCAGAATGAGGACACATGTTACTATCCCCCACTTTAGTGCAGGAGACAACTCCATGGTGTCCTTGGCCATCGTTCAAGCCAGCCAGAAGGACCAGGGCCTCTACAACTGCCGCATCCAGAACAGCTACGGAGAAGTGACAGCGGAGTTCAACCTCACCCCTGAAGGTAAACCTCAGCTCTTCCATTTCCGATAAATGAGAAACACTGGCCCTGCCAACTGATGTTCCTTCGATCTGAAAGCATTCTCTTCTGTATCTTCTTCCAGTTCTCAAACAACTTCCCAGTCACCAGGATATTAAAGGTGAGCTAATGTGAGTGGGGTGCAGGGGGTGGGCCCATCAGAAAGTACGAAATAGCTCCTGGAGTCAGTGGTGGAAGTGATATTCCCATGGACTCTTCTAACCAAGGAAGAGAGAGCCTAGGAATGACTGAGAAATGAATGAAAATTCATGAGCCATTTCAGCCTGATTATAAGGCCCATATGATAAGTTCTCGAGGCTACGGATACCCAGAAGTACACCATTTGTGACAGAGATCATGTAGTAGGTGTTGCTGGGAACGTGTGGGGGGTGGTTGGGGTTACACTGTTTTCTTCAAGCCCCAGAAGCCCACGCACTAGCATTCGGCCGTGTGCGGGGGATTTTTCTTCAGCCTCTGACACTTACACGGCATGTTTTGCTTCTTCAGTTTAGTTTTCACTTTGACTAGCTGAGCAGATGCCCAAAGAGAGCCAGGTGTCAGGAGAACAACCCCATTTATTTGCATCTTAATGGAAATGACAGGTGGGTGTACAGGCTCTCCTTTGGCACCGGGGTGCACCTGCTATAGCGACAGCTTAGCAGCTGCTCCAGAAGGACACTCCCGCTGCCCCTGGGCCACCTGCTGAGTCCAAGGTTGACCTGTAGAACCTCAGAGGGGAAAGTACACCTGACTCCCAACAGAGCCGTAGCTCAAAGACGAGACGGGGGAGGTGGGCCACTGAGGAGGGTGTTGAGTACAACTAAACTCGGGCCATGTTTCAGGATGCGAAGAGATTGAGTTCAGCCAACTTATCTTCAGAGAAGACTTCCTCCGTGACCGGTACTTCGGGGACCGCCTGCGAGGCCAGATTGCCACGGAGGAGCTGCACTTTGGAGAAGGCGTCCACCGCAAAGCCTTCCGCAGCAAAGTCATGCAGGGCCTCATGCCCGTCTTCCAGCCCGGCCACGCCTGCGTGCTCAAGGTGCACAACGCCGTGGCCTACGGGACCAGAAACGACGATGAGCTTGTCCAGAGGAACTACACACTCGCTGTCCAGGTGGGCCCCCCTGCACTGACGGTGCCACTTGCCAAGTGAGAGGGACCTGTGGTAATCAGGCTCGGCATTGAAGGCTCGGCATTGAGGGGAATGGCTTTAAGCAGGTGCTTTTATTCCTTTGGGGTGAAGGCTGATTGCTGGGAATCATGTCTCAGTTCCAAGAGCTCTTCTTGGCCTTGGCCAGCCAGACGGGGCTCAGCCTGTGTCTGGAGGTGGCCCGGGCTGACCTGGGCTGAGATCATCTCCTAGGAAGTCCCAGGAGATCCCTGAGGGCTTGAATCTACTTGGACATGGGATGATAGGGCAAGTTCAGGGGCGGGGAGGGGGGTTGGCATGTAAGCTACACTGGATGCCAGGATCCCCAAAGACAGCTAAAAGCAGGAGGAGTTTCCGGAGTGTTTCGGTTTGGATGGAGGAGGAAGGAACGGGAAATATTTAGAAGGACAGGACAGAAGCATTTGCCCCCTTGCTTGCTTTCCTGAGTCTGGTTCTATGCCAGCCCATAAGCTATGAGGGGAGAGCACCCCTAGTCTCCAGCTACATTCCCACCTCTCTGTGCTAGAGAGTCACGGAACTCTGGCAGCAAGAGGGGAGGGGGACGCTGGCTTCTGTCCCTGCCTCCCCCTCCCACCTTGGTCCGCGTGCTTCCTTCTTGACACCAGAAGTGGCCAAGTTTTCAGGAGTGTCGGGTCTGCCTCCTTTACCAACTGGGTGCCCTTTTGCAATTTCTGCCCACAGAATGAGCAGATTGGACTCAGGTGACTATCCTGGGTGCCGTCAGGTATTCACCACCCATGAGTCTCCCCAATGTGACTGTGTCGCGTGGGACTCGGTGCACATGAAGGCAGCTCCTCTTCTGTAGGGATAGGATCTTGCCAATTGTTTTTCATTCTCCTCCGATCCACCCTTCTCTCTCCTTCCTTTCACTGACCATTTCTTTCATCTTCACTATCATCTGGCCCAGTCATGGACGTGCCCCCACTTCCAGACTTCCATTTGTAAATGCCTTACAGAGTGGAAAGCAGACTCCAATTTGCTTTTCCTATGTCAACAAGCTTGTCGAGGCGTTCCCTATTTACAACTCAAATTACACCTTTGAAGAACAACCTGAATGGGGAAGCTCATGGGAACCCAGCAAGCCCCAAGCTTGATCTGACATCCTGCTGAGGGGACAGTCCCCCCTAGTTCAGGGAAGAACTTCAGCCATGCAGTTCTACGGAGTTTATAATTCAGGGGCACCTGGCTCCAGAGACCACTTGACCTTCATCTGGGTCGTTCCTGCAGGTCTCAGAGCTGCTCTGCAAGTGGCCAGCTCTGGGTTGCAATCATTGTGGCTTCTGTGCCCCCAGCCAGGGGAGGGGTTGGGGACCCATCAGCTTGGCCTGTGTTAGGGAGTCTGACTAGCTTTACCAAAAGACTCTCTGAATGTCCTCTAATCACCGGGATCCCCCATGTGTTTGGGTGATACAGGAATGCTACGTTCAAAACACGGCCAGGTACTATGCGAAGATCTATGCTGCCGAAGCACAGCCTCTGGAAGGCTTCGGGGAAGTGCCAGAGTAAGTGCGTGTCCCGTCTCCTGCATCTCTACTCCGACTTGCTGGGCACTTGGGGGCGTGGGCTGGAGGGACGGCAGGGTGAGAAGGACCAGGAGGACAAGCATTTTGATTGGTCTCTCTGTAAGCTGTCAGGATACCCGTGGGTGCTATCCTGTTCCTCATTGGATCACCAGAGGCTTACAGAAAGATATTCGTTAAATATCTATAAATAAATGCGTGTGTGGATGGATAGATGGATGGATGGATGGATTCGACAAATATATCTATCAGGTTAAATAGAAAAGAAAGGATATGTACTCTCACAAATATCACATTGTCTGAACAATAAGCATATTGCCCTGGCTGGTGTAGCTCGGTGGATCGAGTGCCAGCCTGTGAACCAAAGGGTCACCAGTTTGATTCCCAGTCAGGGCACATGCCTGGGTTGTGGGCCAGGTCCCCAGTAGGGGGTGCTCAAGAGGCAACCAGACATTGATGTTTCTCTTTCTCCCTCCTCTTTCCCTCTCTCTAAAAATAAATAAATAAAACCTTTAAAAAAGCATATATAAGAGAACGTGAGAATATTACAGAATTATTAGTCCTGTGGTGAAAATAAAATCTGGTGCCATGTCCAGAAAGTGCGAATTGGGTGATTGGGATTATGGACACTTGATACCCACTTCCTAGAATCCTACTGAGATAAATTAGACTGATTACTTGTATCCACTCATGGACTTTTGATTCACTCAAGCAAATGTTGGCACCCTGGTAAATATACCATTGGGCTGAAGCTGGATTAGGACATTTCCGTACCTGAGACCCTTTTCCTTCCCGACCCTGGGAGAATTTGTGAGCGCGTGGCTGGCGAGAGTACACGGAGGGCCAAGTCCCTACAAAGGAAGGTGGCGGTGGTTGTTTTAACGGACTAGGACATGCTTGTGGCTTTTGAGGCAGATGGAGGACATCAAGAGTAAGATGACAGTAATCAACAGAAGATAAAACTCTCAATAGGGATTGGCAAACCTTTCTGTAAAGGGCCAGAGTGTAACTATTTGGGGTCTGTACTCAAGATGCAAAAATCAAGGCTATCATGTAGATCTGTATGTACTAGATCCTTATTGGTGTATTTTAAAAATAATAATAATTATTGAATATAATTTTTGACATATAGGTTTACTAATGAGAAGAGTAAAAAAATTTTTTAAAGTAACATTTTGCCTAATTGGGGCTCAGAGTTAGTATTTCCAAATCAATCGCAAATGTTCATCTATAAAACTCAGTCTTAGCCTGTGGGCTGAGTGAAAACGGACATTGGGCTGGACGTGTCTCATGGCAGAGGGTTCATCCACCCCACAGTGCACATCGCTCCCCCTGCAGGGAGTGGTGGGTGAGGGACAAGAGCGACGCGGGCAGGCTGGAGTCTCAAGGCTGGGGAGAAGAAGCAGGGAAGCAGGAGGTAAATGAAGAGCAAGTGAGTTTCTGGAAGCCATGGGAAGGTGTTTTAAAAAGAAGTGAGAGCAACTGAGTCAAGTGCCACTGAGAGCAAGTGAGATGAGGGTAAGAGGCCACCGGTCAGACTCAGCGACACGCTGCTGGTGGTGCCACTGGACTGAGGCCTCTTCAGTGGGAAAGCCGCTTCAGTGGGTTTGAGAGAGAACGGGAGGGAGGGACTGGAGACAGTGTGTCTGCAACTGATACGCGTTTTCGAGTGAGCTCAGGGCCCAGGTGCTCCGTGGAGATACTGCAGCGTGTTGCTGTGCTGTTGAGAATGATGCCACAGAGGGAATTCTGCTGGAGCAACGTCTCTGAGGGGGGCGGGGTCCAGGCAGCAGCGGGAGAGATGGTTCAGGCAGGAGCAAAGAGGGTTCCTGCCTAGGAGGTGGGGAAAGGCAGAAGATGTGAGTGCAGACCTCAGGAGATGGGAGTAGGTGGGCTGGCAGCTCTGGTTGTTCTGTGCTTACTGAGTTCTCACAATGGAACGGGAGGCAAAGCCATCAGCTGAGAGTGAGATTGGGGAGGAGGTGGGGGCGGTTAGAGGCCAGAGCAGCAGGTATAAAAGAATCCTCCAGGACAGGGCAGATTGGTGCAGGAAGATGCATTTAAGATCTGGGCATTCTCCGCTTCCAGCTGCCATCACGGCTGCACAGCCTCCTCTCTGGCCTCCCTGCTCCTGACCTTGTCCTTGCGCAGCTGTCCACACACAGTGGCAGAGTGATCCCAGAAACACAGGGGTTCGATTGGGCCACTCCTCTGCCCAACGTTCTCCAATGGCTTCTCGTCCAGTTCAGTACAAGCAGAGCAGAGTTTTTCAAATGGCCGACCAGACCCTCCCGGGGTCTGGCTTCACATTCCCTCTGTCCCCACTCATCCACTCACTCCTGGCTCACTGCCCTGCAGCCACACCGGCCTCTCACGGTGTTTGAACACCCCGGAGCCTCTTCGTGTGTCTTCCTTCTACCTGAGATGCCCCTCCACCCCCACTTCCCCCAGGTCTCCGCTCAAATGTCCTTTATTAGCAAGGCCTTCTCTGCCCCCAGGCCTCCCAGCTTCCCTCCATGGCTTTCTCTCATTGCACGTAGCGATATGCACTTACTTGTTTACTGCCTGTCTCCTTCATATAAATGTAAGATCCAGACGGGCGGTGCCAGTTTCCTTCATCGCTATTTTCCAGCGTAGAGTCTGGAAGAGCGTCTGACACCTGGAAGCCACCGAATGAATGTTTGTTGATTTGTGGACTGAATGGAAGGAAGAAAGGGAAGAAGGAAGGCTGGCGGGCTGGGCATAGGATGGACGGACAGAAGGACTGCAGTCACATGACCAAGGGGTCATTGAGACGTGACTATGAAGAGACATCCATTTCTACATGAGCAATTCCGGAGGAGTTCCTGACCAGCTCTAGGGACAAATAAAAAACAGAAACACATCCTTTTAGTCACTGAATAATCATTGGGGGGATTGTTAGTCTAAATCTAATGGAACCCGGGGGTTTATTCTGCAGTTCCCTGCTGCTCCATGTGAGAGTAGGAAACCCCCAAACCTTTATTCCCTTTGGAGAGAGTGACAGGTGCCCATGTTCTCTTCCCTACAGGATCATTCCTATTTTTCTTATCCATCGGCCTGAGAACAACATCCCGTATGCCACGGTGGAGGAGGAGCTGATGGGAGAATTTGTGAAGTATTCCATCAGGGACGGGAAGGAGATCAACTTCTTGAGGAGAGACTCGGAGGCCGGTCAGAAGTGCTGCACCTTCCAGCACTGGGTGTACCAGAAAACGGGGGGCTGCCTCCTGGTCACCGACATGCAGGGTGAGGAAAGCAGCTGCCCTGGGGCACCGTAGGGGGCGAGGGGTGGCGGGATGGGTGGGGGGGAGGGAGGTGTTCTGGCTGCCTCCACGCACCTTCACCAGCAGAGGGTGCCACGAATGTCTCATCAGAAACCAGGTGTGGCGAGGGAGCTGGAGATGACCGGCCAAATGGAGTCATGAAGTGCACGTTAATAATTCATGCCGGTCACAGCAGGCAACCAAAGATTGACTTCCTTGTTGCACCCTCCACAGACGCAGGGTCAGAAGTACAGATGAGAATCTGGATGTGCCAACAGTTAAATTAAGATGTAATCATTCATTCTTAGTAGGTTGAAAGGGTCTCTGACAGTTACTTCAGATTTCGGGCCCCCTTGGTGAATTTGCAGCGTGTACTTGGTTTATACACACATCGTTATGAGAACAGTGAATACGTTGGTCGTCTGTAGTGGAGGTGTCATAACTGGGTTCCCCACAGAAGCAGTCAGAGACAAGTCACAGTCTGGGGGTCCCCAGGGCCCTGTCAGCTCACTCATTTGCTGGAAGGACTCACAGAACTCAGAAAAGCTGTTCTACTCGTGGTCACACTTTATTGCAGCCAAGGGATGCAGACTCACATCGGTGAAGCGCAGAGGTGTGTAGGGCAGAGTCCGGGAGGGACCAGGCAGGAGGTCCCAGGTGTCCCCTCCAGGTGGTGACGTGGGGATGGGGCTCACTTCTCCACCCACGACATGTAGCAGCACGCACAGATAGAGAAGCCAGCCAGGGAAGCTCACAGGAGCCTTGGTGTTCAGAGTTTTTAGTGGCGTCCATCACGTAGGCACGACTGGCTGCCCGTGACATTGACCTCAGTCTCTAGCCTCTCCAGAGGTCAAGCTGACACCACCTGGCCCAGGGTCCCTGGCAGACAAAGCTGCTCTTATCAGGCAGGACGTTCCAGGGGCTTAGAAATGAGCCTGAGGAGCTGGGCGAGGACTGAAACTTCATTTGGTCCAGGTTCTTCCTTTACTGTGAACACATGTTCAAGGACAAATATTTGGGGGGCAGGGGGACCCCAGTAAACACTGGGAGCAGCGTGGGGACATGTGACAGGGGGAGGGAAGGCAGCTGCAGGGCACCTTCCAGTGCAGCCAGCCACCACTGAGGGCGTCTGAAGCTCACGCCTCCTGGGAATCCTGGGGGCCTGTGCAGCACCCACGTCTCAAATCAGCGCACCCAGGGGGTGAACACCCCCCACCTTTCGTTACTGGTAGAAGACTTCACCTGTATGGGTGCAAGCCAAACTGAGCAGAGCAGCCTCCTGCGAGCAGAGAAAGTTCTCAAAGAAATGCTGGTGGCGGCAGCCGGAGGCGGGGCGAGTGTGCACAGAAATGGTTCCAGTGAGGTCGATGGGTGGGGCACCAGGAGCTCCGCCACAGGATTTCCTATCCCCTTTCCTTTCCAAACAGTCGAGAAAAATTGGAACTGCAGCTAAAATCCGAACTGCTAAACGTCAGGCACTGCTCCAGACACGGATGCTCAGATCTAGCAATGGCGGGGCTGCCTCTGGGCTCCAGCCGAGGCTGCTGCGCTTGCGGTGGTCAGCCTCAGGCGGATTGCGGACTTCTCTGGGCGCCTCCGCAATTCTCCCCCAGGGTTATGGTGAAGGCTGAAGGAGGCAGCAACACATTTGGTGAAACAGATGTTCCCTGTTTTTAAAAATGTTTATTTTGAAATAACCGTAGACACAGGAAATTGCAAAGATGCACAGACGTCCCTGTGCACCCTTCCTCTAGCTTAGCCCAGTGCTAACATCTCACAGAACTACAGTGCATACGAAATGTGGGGGTTTGCCCTGGCTGCTGTGGCTCGGTGGATTGTGCACCAGCCTAGGAACCAAAATGTTGCCGGTTCGATCCCTGGTCAGGGCACATGCCTTGGTTGTGGGCCAGGTCCCCGTTTGGGGGTCATGCGAGAGACTACTGATGGATGTTTCTCTCCCTCTCTTTCTCCCTCCCTTCTCCTTCTCTAAAAATAAATAAACAAAATCTTCAAAAACAAGACAAAACCCAGAGACTCACATTGACACTATCTGATTAGCCAGACTACAGACCTGCCTTGGATTTCACAAGTTTTGGTATGGACTCATTTTCTCCTATTACTTTTGTTTAATCTTCAAAATAACCCTGCCAAGAAGATGTTAGGACCCCCATTTTACAGATGACAAAGCAGAGGCCCAGAGGCAGTGATTTAACTGCCTGCGGTCACTCAGCTGACGAGCAGAGGTTCGAAGGCTCGAGCTCATGATTTGACTCCAAATCCCAAGCTCTTTGCACGAAATCACAAATTCACAAATTGGCGAGAGATTTCCAAGTGTCTCCTGAAGTCGAAGGCTCCCGTGGGGGACTCTTCGACAGCCAGCTGGGACGGACGACACCGCAGCCTTGCAGATGGGGCCCGCCCTGCAAACTGCAGGCAGCCGCCCTGCGGGTTTTAAGGGACGTTGCTGCCATGCTCCCGCCAAGGTGGTTTCAGCGACTGCCATCTATTCTAATTAGACTCTGCCGTGCAGCCAGATGCTCCCCATCTCTTCTCCTTCAGAGTTCATTCTGCATTAAATAGAGTTCTCCTACCGAAAAGCAACACCCCAGAGCTTCACGCACAGCTGGTTTTATGTCCAGGCACCAGTAAACAGCCCGGGTGGAATATTACCTCTCTCCGTAAATGAGGTGTGCGGTTTAATGGGGTGTTTCGTGGTGGTGTTTATTTACCCTCTGCAGCTGCTGCTGGGAGATGCCTTTTCAGTACCATCGTCACTGGGGCACCGGATTGCACATCCGTTCTCTCAACAGCATCCGTATTTTATAAACTGACTGAGAGACTGGAATTAGCATGAAAGTAACACACAAACCCAAACTCAACCATTCCCTTCTCAGACTATTAAAAGTTACTCCCTCCCTGGTTGCATGTGCATAGGATGGTGGCGGGCCCTGCAGGTTGGAGGGGTGCAAGCCGGGCCCCTACTGGGGATGCCCCTAGGGTTGCTGAGAAGCTGTCCCCCAAGAGACCCAAGAACTCACTTTCTGGAGGATGAACTCATATTGCTGCTCGCTTTTTTCTTTCCAACAGAGCCAACCCACAGGGGACTATTATCTTCCACACAGTTTAATAGTCACACACTAGAATTTAAATTATTGTCCTGGAGAGAACTTCAATAACCTTGGTTGAATTGCTGGCAAATTATTAAACCAAGAGAGAGACATTTCCTTTTAAAAATCATATTCTATTTTTCTAAACTGTAAGTGACAGCTGGTGACTGTGAGAAGCAAGAAAAAGCAATTCTCAAGTTCAAGGACCTTTTGCCAAATGACTTTTAACATTGGACTTCTATGCAGCTTAGAGCTGTGATTTTTCTGCTATAGCTTTCCACAAAATGAGATGTCCAAAGAGGGCTTTTGCAATTTGGTGTTTGGTTTTTTTTTTTTTTTTTCAAAGCACAGTCCTGTGATAAAAGCTATGTGAAGCATTTCTACAAATGTTCTAGGTATTAGCAGCTTTAAGAGAATGAGAGGGATTCTTGGCCACTGTGAAACAGGCTTTTAAAATGCTTGCCAGGTCACCCCTAGTGGTGCCGAACTAGTTCAGCTCACAGGTGCACAGCAGGAGGGCAGGACTGCCAAGCCAGCCCACCAGCAGCCTGCCCGGTATTTCTGCCATGGTCCAGCCTCCGAATCAGAGCCTTAACTTGCTAGGACTCCTTTTCTGAGCCTCAGAAAACAGTGCTCTTTGAGTTTGCCATCAGGTCAAACCTCAGGGTTGGCTTTGGAGGGATGGCGGTTCCTCTGTCCACAGCCCAGACTGGTTTCTGGGTTGCCAGGCCCCTCAGTGAGGGGGTCCCCTGCTGGCCGGGGTGGGAGGGTCCAGCCATTCCTGCCTGGCTCAGATAGAACAAGTGTCAGGGCAAGAAAGGAGCAGGCAAGACTCAGGCCTGGTGTCTGGCTGGTCCGGAGAGACGGCTGGGGTTGAGCCGTGGGCCCCGTGCCTTGCCATCCAAGGCCTGTCTCGAGGTTGCGATGGTGAGACCGAAGCAGAGGTCCAGCAGCTTGGAACTTCTGCCATAGCCACCACCCTGCAGAGGCAGGCCTCCCCGGAACTGCGGTGTCTGCCCCGCCCTGGTCCGGTCTGTGAGGCTGACACAGAGGCCTCTACCGGTGGAGTTGGGGAGAGTGTGTGTGTTGACGCAGGGAGGGGCTGCCACGGCCCCACGGCCCCATCTCGTGCTTCCCAGGCGGCCTGTCTGACACGGCTTCTCTCCGCTGTCCCTTCCTGCAGGTGTGGGAATGAAGCTGACGGACGTGGGCATAGCAACGCTGGCTAAAGGGTGAGTAGGAAAAAATCAAGTGCATCTTATCCTTCACCTCGGGCTCCCGAACACCTTCTGGGCGGACACCGATGTGGGCAAAGCAGACTCCCTCTCCTGACCGTGGGTGACAAATGTTCTTGGGGCGAATTCAGTTCACTTCCTACACTTGCCTAGAACATTTGTGGACTTGCTCGTCCCCGGGAAACACATCTGGGTCCCAACTTTGAAACAACTAGAACTCTGCAAAGGCATTTCGGGATGAATTACTAACGGGAACGCCACGGGGGAAATGCCAGCACGGTTGGGATTTCTTTTAACTATGAATGTTCCACTTTTTTATATTTAACATTTTCAATATTAGAAGTGTCAATAAAATATGTATATATTAAAAAATACATATGTCAGTTGAATGCAGTAAATTCAGTTTGCATATTTCCATGTATTTTCTCTCCATTCCCCCCCCCCCCCAAGTTATTTAGGCAGCTCCCAGACTTTCATGGTAGTTACCGAAGCAAATGGCTCTGGCGGGGCTGTGCTTAGTTACCTCCGCTTGTTGCTGGTGGTTCTGTTTCCCTGTGCTCGCACGGAGCACGCCCAGACTGATCGGCGCAGTTGCAGTTATCCGGCGTGTCTCTAGCACACCGTGCTTGCTCACTGCCTTGCGTGACCTCAGCCCAGAAGGCAGGCTCCCGTGGTTCCTGGTGGACCGAGTGCTGGGTTGGAGCCACCGTTGCCTTGCCTATGGCTGCTGTTGCCAGGCACTAAGACCGCTTGTCAGGAGGAGGAAGCAGAGGGCGAATGACTTGCAGAAGGGAGGGCTTCTGTTCGAAGATGTGGGTGCTGTTATTGTCGAGGTTGGGTGAGGCCAACAGATCAGGAGCCGCTCACTGTGGAAAAGACAATTATGACTCACAGTTTCCAAGAGGAGGGGACAGGCTGTGCAACAGCCGGGGTAGGTCAGCCGGCCTCTGTCAGGGGCCAGGAGTCAGGGGCAATGTGGGCAAGGCCCCTACTTTGGTTTCTGCAGGAAGGGCTGGGTGCAAGGGCTTGCAACTATCTAGTGTGGATGTTTTCAGAGGGCTCTGGTGTATGGGGGCTGTCCCTAGTTGTCTGGTATCTGCTCGGGGAGAGAGTGGCTCTGATTTTGAAACCCCAGTAGACTAGGAGTAGGTGGAGGGCTCTGGATTGGTTCACTTGCATATGAAAGGAATTCTAGGAGGCCAATCAATTACTCTCTGTAGGAATTGGCCAGCCCCCAGGGAGGGGCAGCCTCTCCAGGTCCAGCGAGGCCCCAGATGCCAACGCATCAGAAATACAGAAAATAAAACCCTGTGGCTAATACAGCTTTTGCTCCCGAGCGGTAACGACTTATCTGTGTGAGCTTTCTGGTTATTGCAGCTCATTGGCCTCAGCAGGGCTTTAATGAGTAAACTCGTTTCCGACCTTAATGAAGGACAGAGTAAAGGATAGAGATTTGGGGAAGGAGTGCAGTGAGGACAATGCTTTTCTTTTTAATCCTCACCTGAGGATATGTTTACTGATTTTAAAGAGAGCGCATGGCGGGTGTGGAGAGAGAGACATCGATTGGCTGCCTCCCACCTGTGCCCCGCCTGGGGACCAAACCTGCGACCTTGTGGGGCACAGGACGGCCCTCCAACCGAGCCACCTGGCCAGGGCCACTCTTTCTATTGACCTTCAGGTCAGTGAGCCTGAGTCGGCTGATTTGGTTTTAGAACTGAGACGCAGTTTGGATATTTTTCTTATGAAAAATTGCTCCGAATAATAAAATTTTGTGTTGGAACTCTGTCCATCCCTGGTGCTGACCAGTGTCCTGAAAGTCAGGGAATTCGGTCATGGCCTTGGGCTTGGCAGATGGCACACAGGGGGGAGCGGGTGTGATACAGCAGGGGAAAGAGGGGTAGTAGAGAGAAATTGTGGTGCTGCCACTGACTCCGGTGCTTCCTGCGGCACCGGAAGTAGTCTGGCCAGAGTGATGCAGGGCGACCGGACATCCTGGTTGTCCAGGACAGCACTGTGGCCCGCATGTGGTCCTAGCAGCCCCTCCAGTTAGTCCTTTGTCCTGGACAGGTTCTCCCGTTTAGAAAAATTCCACAGTGCCCTAATTTCTGAAGAGATGTCTCTGGACCCCAGAAGAATTTCCCGAGTAAAGCTTTCCTGGACAGACACCGTGTTCTGTGCAGGACGCTGCGAGTCCAGGTGTCATCCAGACCTGGCTGGAGAGCTGGGATCTTGTCTGACCGGTGACTCAGCTGTGACTAAGTTCTTGCAGCTGCTGATTGACAGAATGGGGTCCCCGGGGGCTGCCTCGAGGGTTCCCCAGCTAATCTACATCTAGCCCCTGAAGCTCAGTATGTACTCGATAAATAACAGTTTCCTTTCCCTGCCATGCCTCTGCCTGACACCGGAATAGTCAGATTTCATACCGTCATTTAGAACAACTTTCTACCAAAACAGAGCAGAGACTCGCTCAAGAAGTTTTGAAGACTAAGACAAGCTTAAGGTCGTGATTATTTAAGACATCTTTGGAAAGCATCCTAACAGCTTCCAGGAACCCAGGTCACATTTTTCTCCTAATTTAAAAAGAAATCCAATGCCTTGGTTTTGTTCTTCGCTTTCGAGTGACGTGTCTGGCCTGGGACGGCTGCCCAAGACCCATTAGGGTGGCTGTTGGCAGGATCCCGGAGCAAAATGTTGCCTGGAAGTGTCACTTAGGGCCTCCTGCCTCCCCGGCTGTCAGCGAGCAGGAGGAGGGAGAGGAAGGCCCTCTGCAGAGCCAGAGGGCTGTGAGATGCATATCAGACCATCCTGTTTATTGTTTCCTTTTAGACTTTTCTCTTTAAGCTTTTCCTTTTAAGTTACAATTCCCCCCTAAGAAATGTTTCTTAGCCTAGTTAAAAATACTGATAGAAGGGGAACCTCTAATTGGAGCACAAGGGGTGGTTGGCAGGTCCCTTTGGAGGCCCCTGGGAACCCCTGTGCTCAGGAGTGAAAACCAGCAACCGCGTCCCACCTTCTTACTTCCCAAGTGAGGAGCAGGGGGTGCAGGAGGGGGAAGCATCTAACAGGCAGACGCTGCCTGAAGCAAGGCGCAGGGAGGAAGAGGGCAGCTCCTCAATGTTCGGAGGCCAGATTTGACTGCAGAAACTCTCCAGTGGGAGCCAGTGCTACAAAGGGGAGCTCAAACCATGAGGAGAGGCTTGGGAAAGGTTCCAATTCAGAGGCAGCTTGCAGACAGGCCCAGAGAGGTCCAGGGGGGAAGCAATGGCGAGGAAGGGAAGACAAGGTTGGGGAACATTGCAGAGGGCTTCCTGAGCGCAGGAGAGAAGGCAGGTGACGAAGCAATGAAGCATCGAAGCATCGAGGAAGCTCACGCTCTTTATTCCCAGCAAACACACTCCCTGTGCTCAATGTACCCACGTTGGAAGAGGCGCCGTCCTCAGATGTTGTGCTCTGTGCAGGCAACGTACCTGTGGTCTTTTAACTGCAGTGGGAAGATCTTGAGGCTTGGATGGGAGAGGCAGCAAGGAGGCAAATTGGACTTACGCTGATAGTAACTAATAATAGCAACAAGAATAAACCATATTCTGAATTGGTTGAAGCAGGAAGGAAATGTCCTCCCAGATTTGGGGCCCACCCTTCTTGTCCAGCCATGTCAGGTTCTTCTGCAGGCAGAGGGGCCGTTGGGTCATTTAAAGGAAATACTCCGTGTGTCTCAATCTGAGCCTCAGCTGCAGACATGCCCACAAATGCCACCCTTCTTGTGCTCTTGTTTAGTGAAGTCAGAGGGCGTGCCACTATTTTTAGGGTAAAGAGTTACTTGTAATCTCATAAAATAGGAAACTGTCATGATTTATTTGTTTTAATGCAGCTTCACCTGGGAGTATGATCTTAAGAATGTGTCCTCTTTCTCCTGGGAGCCAACCCCTGGGCCTCAGTACCCTCTTTCATCATGGTTGAGTATGGAAATGGCAAGTTGCAAAGTTTGGCAAATAGGATCCTTTCAACGTGTAGCGATCCATTTCCCAGGCAGACCCAACAAAACACTACCTGTGGAGCATATTTCTGATTTGAAATTGCACAGCCATATAGAGCTCTCCGACAGGGAGAAGGAGAAAATGCCTAATTCTGTAACTGGAGGTTTGAAAATTTAACCTAACCCAAACCCAAAGCCAGTGTAAACCGGCGCCTGCAGACCAGTGAGTCCCAGCCGGTTGGGCAAACCCACGCCCCTCCCTAGACAGGAGCTGTTTCTGGGGAGATGGCGAGATTGCAGTTTAACCACCAGAGGGCATCAGAGCCAATAGTTTTGCCCTCTATTGTCTGCCCCGCCCACCCCCAAGCCTATTTTATGGTGCAGATTGAAGCAAAACAAAGAGATGTACCCTGAGCAGGTTTCTTCAGTAAGCACTGGACCAGGATAGGGTCGGTGTGAATAGCCCAAAGGACGCCCTTCAGTGTGGCCTTCCTGCCTTTGGAAGGAGTGAGGAGCTGTAAGGCACATGGAAACCAAATCCGGGAGAAGCCCAGGACACAATCGCGAATGGCCCGTTCCCCTTGGAGCGTAATAAGGGCCCAAGTAGCAGGACAGATGCGTGGTGAGGACAATGGTCTGGAGAAGGCAGGCTCTGCCGTCATCCACACGGCCGGCTCTAGTCCTTCAAGCCCCAGGAAAGCGGAAAGAGTCAAATAAACTCCCGCATTCAGTGAAGCCCTAGTTTTATCTCCCACGCATGCACACACCAAACTGGGGTTTTATTTCAATTCCGTGCCCCTGTAGCCATTCCCCATACATTATACTTTTCTTTCAAAAGGGTATGGAATGAAAACTTGGGTGACACACAGCTTCTGGCTTTTCCTACAGAGAATGTAGGAATTCTCTATAGATTTTTCTTATCTCACCTCATCTTTCTTTAAGTGAGGCCTTTATGAAGGCAGACACAATCTTCGATTTCTTCAGCAAAGCCAGAGCTGGGAGTTGCTGCAGTCTTGTTCTGCGCCCCTCCGCCCCGCCCCACCCCATTTCTCCAGGTCTGTTTGGAAAGTAGGAATTGCCCAGGAAGCTGTGCTCAGTGGAGAGAGGAGGTAGCCTGCTGTCAGCGGGCAATTTTTGTAAGAGTCGGAAAGGCTCATCTGTTATCAAGATGAGAGGGAAGAAAAAGGAATGGTTTTAAAGCAAGAAACCTGCCTAGCATAGGTTGAACACGTAGTGAATCCAGGCTTACCTGGGGGACACTGTGGATTCGAGTCCGGACCACCGTGATACAGCCGGTCACCATCTTTTTGTGGGTGGAAGGTCCCGCCTTCACTCTGTAAAAGACCCAACACCTGAGAAGTGCAGTAAAGCAAGATGTGCCTGTATTGAAGAAACCTGTGTGGAGTGAGGGCGGGGGATTGCGGAAAATAGCCTCCTACCCTCCCCCCAGCGTGGAAGGTTACAGTGCAATTTGACGATGTTGTCTACACAAATTTCAAGAAGAAAAGATATAGCCGTGTTCCAGTTTCAATACAAAGAAGTTTCCCGATCTGCGAGGGGTGGCTGAGGTCATTTGCACTGTGGTCAGCCTCCTTGCCGCTGCATGTGGGCGTGTTGGAAATGCATACACGCCCCCAGACCTGCCCAAGCAAACCAGCATTCTAACAAGATCCCTGAGTAATTTGCATGCCCCTCCCACCCAACAGAAAAGAGAGTTAAGAAAAGATTCCATTGGGGGATGCTCAGTGGAATAGATGTATTGCTCCACTCCCGGAGACAGTGAGTGAAGACCGGCAGATTAACAGAAAAGTGATGGGCTAGAAAAGTGGGCTGGGTTGAGGTGAAGCACAAAAAGATCCAGTTAGTAAAATCCCACAGAGCCGAAGTTTCTAAAAATGGAAATGTGTGGAGTTCTCAAGTGCAAGGTTCTTTATCCCATTGTATTGGTTCTGAGGGCTGTCATAACAAGTTACCACAAGCCGTGGGCTTAAAACAACAGGAGTTTATCATCTGACGGTTCTGCAAGTCAGAAGTCCAACGTCAAGGTGTCGACAAGGTGTGAGCATGTTAGCTCCTGCTGGGGGTTGTGAGGGAGAAACGTGTTCCGTGCTTCTCTCCCGGGCATTGCTGCCGGCCCTTGGCATCCTTGGCTGGTGCGCGCATGGCTCTAATCCCCACTTCCGTCGTCATGTGGCATCCTCCCCATGAGTTCGTGGCTGTTCTCCTCTTCTTACATAGCCAACAGCAGTGTTAGATTAAGGATCCACTCTCCTCCAGTATGACTTTATCTTAATTACATCTGCGATGATGCTATTTCCAAAGAAGGCCACATTCCGAGGTTCTAGGGAGGACGTGCCTTTTGGAGGGGACACTGTTCAACCTGTCACATCCACACAACAGGAACAAGGTGGCCAGTGTCCACAGTGGGAATCCTGCTGGAGAGTTGTCAGGATACTATGCATTTGTGGTCTCCTCCCACCCTACCGGTGACAGATGGTTCATGTGGCAGGCAAGCGGCCACAAGCCAGGGAACCGGTACATCCCACTGCTCAGTGTCACGCTAGAGCTTGGTGCAAATCAACTGTGGGCTACTCGATGGAGAAATGCAAAGGATGCTGCCCTATTTTCTCCCCAGGCAATGACAAGAGCTGTGAGTCTGAGGGAGGAGAGGTCAAAGCAGAAGCCAGGCCGAGACAGGGACCAAACTGAGAAAGGAGAAAGACTTTTAATTCTCTAGATGCTGGTTATCAAAACCAAAAAAAGTCCAATGTTGCGTGATATTTAGAAACGTGGTCTGGAGACCCCCTGGGACAAGGTGAGGTAGCTCTGAGGATGGGGCTGGTGAATCCATTCATTTGTTACCTTGACCTTTATGGAAAGCCTTCCCTGGACAGGTCCTTAGGCATGAAGTAGTGTCCTGGGGAGACCAGTCAGTGCAGGGAAGATGTGAGGAGCGATGCAGGGAAGAGGCTGGAGAGAAGAGCTGGCGTGGAGCAGGTCAGGAGGGCTCCCTAGCAATGCACCTGAGCCAGGGCTCAAAGGGCACCAGGGGCCGAGAAGGGGCCTCCCACACTGTGCATGCCCACGCTCGGCCTTCTGTGGTGGCATCTGTCCCTGGTCCCCATGGCCTTCCTCTGGCTTTCTGTGAGGACTGCAAAGACAGAAGGAACGTGGAAGAAAAGAAGGAGCCCAGTTCATAGTGAAAAGCCTGGGCTCCTGGGGCTACTCAAGAGAACAGAGCCTGCTGGGCTATGTCCAAACTCAGCCTTTTCCACCCCAGAGGGCAGGAACTGGTGTGTAAGGACTCACTTGTCGCCTGGCATTGCACAAATGGCCACCAGGCAGTGCCGAAGCAGCCATGGGTGAATTATCTGGGTGGTCATGGTATGAATTAGTGACTTTTTCTCTGCAGAAGCTAGATGTTGCCTGAATGTCTTAACAGCCTCAAGGCAGCCTGAGACAGATGACTGTGCACTTAGTCAGGGACTAACCTGACGCTGATCTTCCCAGTTTGTCTGAGAAGCTCAGGAATGGACAGGAGACCAGCAAGGCCTCTGGACAGACAGGATGAGATGTCCCTTCAGGCCCAGGTGGCCTCACATCCGGCTGGGGCGATGCAGGCAGGCTGATGGCCCGGGGTCAGCCTTTTTCACGGTGTCCTTCCTACAGGAGAAGGCAGAGATGTAAAAATGACCATTGGCAGCACAATTTTATCAACCTGCTAGTTCAACCCCTGTCTTGGACTGACTTTCCTTCAACAAGGGGGCTTGGCTTTTTTTAATGCAGCCATTTTTTTAAAATAAGAAAATGGACTGTGGACTCTCAAGGGTAGAGCTCTTTAAAAATTTTTTTTTAATATTTATTTTTAGAGAGTGGAAGGGGGAGAGAGATCTGTGTGAAGTCGTCTCAAGTGCGCCCTTTACTGGGGACCTGGCCTGCAACCCAGGCATATACCCTGACTGGGAACTGAACTAGCGATCCTTTGGTTTGTAGGCTGGCACTGAATCCATTGAGCCACACCAACCAGGACATCATTTCTTCCTCTCAGTCACCCTTCAGCCAGCTTTCTTGATGGATCTTGTTAATCTGTGGGTGGGTGGGAGACTTGGGGGCTTGTCCATTCAAGGTGGACACTCATCCACTATGATTAGGGTGTGAAGACACAGTCATTTACAGTTTATTAAGTGTCCCAACCAAAAGGGACAGCCCCTCAGCCTACTCCCAGGCAGGAGGCCCATGTGGTCCCTCCTAGAGCCTGCCAGAGTCAAAGGCCCAGAGTCCTCTGCCCCTTGGGACAAGGTGGGGTCCCCTTGATCACAGGAGAGAGCTCTGCTGCAGGAGGAAGACTTGGGGGGCTGCATCCCAATCTTCTCTCTCCTACCAACTTGCCTGGTTTTCTTAGGCTGGTCCCACGGCCTCACAGAATGAATTCATTCGATGGTAAACAGAAGGGTCTAAACTAAATAATTTTGTCCAGCGCCAAAGCTCTAGAATTTTCTCTTCAGAACCTCAGGGTGAAAGGGGTGGCTTTCAGGTCACCAAGAGACCATCTAATGTTTATCCGGATGGTCCAGCACTAGTCACTGTGACTAAAAGGAAGAGGACAATCGTCTCCACTGGTCAGCACCCAGCACCTGCACACTCGTAGATCGTGACCAAGGGCTCTTCGCCTTTGCTTAATTCCACGGGGGCGGCTTTCTCTGTCAATGCCGGTGCCAACCACTGGGCCGTTCTTGCCGGAAGTGGGAATACATGTATTTTCACACACCATTAGTTTCTCCTTTCAAAGGTTCTTTGAAAACTGGTGAAGGGTCCCGTTTTCAGAAATTCTGTTTTCTCCCACAGGTACAAAGGGTTCAAGGGCAACTGTTCCATGACCTTCATCGATCAGTTTAAAGTGCTGCACCAGTGTAACAAGTACTGTAAAATGCTGGGGCTGAAATCGCTTCAAAACAACGCCCAGAAACAGAGGAAGCCAAGCGTCACGAAAAGCAAAAGTCAGCCGAACTCCACGACAGTGAGGAAGGCGGCGTCTGGGGTCCCGGCAGAGAACAAGACCTAGTGTCCCGCAGGGACTGCGAGGCACCTCCGAGCAGCGCACTGTCACGTGGGTGGACGTCTGACAACACCCGGAGAGGACGGTGACAATCCTCGATCCCTGCTGCTTCTGCAGCCGTCACCGGCTGTCTCTGTGGCAGTGCCCAGAGCAGGGTTGTGACCAGACCTAGGGAGGAACTGCACCCATGGCCGGCCTCGAGGACTGTCTGTCTTTATACACGCCTGTAGCATGTTTACCAACCTCACCTTAGGTGTCGATCTGTGTATTTGGCACGTGGTTGTGTTGTCCAGGACGTGGTGCTGAGCAGGGTCTGTGCACGGCCCAGATCCTCCCCACTGCCATTCCTCACCCCGAGACTTCTAGACACTTCCAGCTGCTGTATAAACAGAAGATATGAATTCCTTTATCAGGTCGATTTGCCACACTAGTGTCAAATATGCTATTGTGGCTGGCGGTGGCTTTTTGAGACATGAGGCCATTTCCCATCATTATTCACACACCCAGTTATAATGTTCTGTTCCATTAAATTCATATTTAAACAAAAGCGTGAGATGCATAGATGAGCAGACGCTGGTTCTGTAGAATTGGTGCCCGATGCCATGATCCCCCAGGGTGAGTGAGTTAGTGATTTGCACGTAAGGTTTGGGCAGCACAAAGTATTTGCATCTGTGGGTTTTTTTGATGAATTGAAGTCCCCGGTTTACACCTGGGGGTCACCATGCTGCACACTCCCTGGGTTTTGACACACACATAATGGCAGGTGTCCTCTGTAACAGCGTCACACAGAACGGTGTCGCTGCCCCAAAATCATTCCTCAGGCTCCTCCCAGTCATCCCTCCCATTGAAGCCCTGGCGACCACCAATCCTTCACTGTCTCCAGAGCTTTGCTTTGGAATCCCAGAGGATGGGGCCTTTGCAGATTGTTGGCTGTTTCTTAAGATGATTTCAGCTACTTCCTGATCATATTTCAAAGGATGGTTAGGCCTCCTCTGAGCAGCAGTGATCAATGCTTCTCTAGTTCAAAGTGACCATAAATCACCTGGATCTTGTGACATTGCTGATTCTGGCCTGGTGTGGCCAGGGGCCACACTTAGTGGGGGTGCCAAGACCATGGGTAGCAGGGTGTTGAGGTGTCGAGGGGAGTGACCACACCTAGGTCCAGATCCAGGTCTGCTGCAGGCAGCACCCTGCTGCCTCTCCGCTCTGCTCTGTGAATCCCGCCTGCGCAGCACTCGGCGTGGATAGCACAGCCAACCTCTCACGAGGGGCGGGCCGGGCTTCACAAAGGGCTCCGGACTTCTGCTGAAAACACTGTACTTCTTGGGCACCGGGTGTTTTGGCAAAAGAGAGAACATAGGTGGGATGTTTTGTTCTGAAAAGGGATTGAAGGAGGAAACTCTTCAGCTGGTCACATCTATTTTCAGAAAGTCTGCCATCTCCAGCCTTTCTTTTGAAGTGATTTCCCCGCCTGCAAAGTACAAAGTGCTCATTTTCCTACGAGGCAGTCTGCAGCCTGCTTTCCCCACAAAGTTCCTACAGATGCTTGTAGCAGTGGAATTCTAGAACATTCCACAAGAGCAAAAAGGTGCAGGGCACATTTCGATTAGAATTAGCATAAACAGGGTGGGGCAAAAGTAGGTTAACAGTTACGAGTACACAAAGCAGAGCTTATTCTTGTATCATTATTAATTATTGTATTATTCTCCACATAAACAACTGTAAACCTACTTTTGCCCCACCCTGTATATGCACATATATAAAATATACAGTATATATATATGTATGTATGTATGTGTGTGTGTGTGTGTGTGTGTATATATGAATGAATGATCAGAGTCTTTTCAACAGACCAGGGTATTTTCTTTAGTAACAATTTGTAATTATAAAAATAACAACACAAACCGTTTTTTTTAAATTCTAGAGAAGGGCAAAATGAAGAGTCAGAGTCAGCCTGTACCCTCTTCCCTCTGAGTGGCTTTGAATTCCATCTTGGAGAGACAGTCGAAGGGAAAGGAGCTTCCTCTGCGGTGTGGGGTGCCGCTCTTCAATGGAGCTGTCCCTTCCTCCTTCCATGGACACTTAGATTTCCCCCTGAGTGCCCTTACTGTTTGTCGTAATCTGATCTCTGTTTAAACACATTCGGAGCACCAGGGACAGCAGGGGCACCGCAGTGGGATCTGGCCCCGGGGACGGCCTCTGTGGGGCGAGGGCCATCTGGCCGGCCGTCCAGACCCTGTCCTTCTGTTCTGAGATGCGCTGCTGTTTCCCTTGCAGTCCGAAGCGAGGGTGTGGTGAGCCCTCTCACACCAAAGGTGCTGGGCTGGGGTCTCAGAAACGCCCACATCTGCTTTCTATCCATTTTCCCGTTGGTCTGCTAAGTGTGCAGGGTGGGGAGTCTAGAAACACAAGGGGCGCCCCTTCCAGGCTGAGCTAGGACAGCCTGGTGGGTCGTGCTGGGGATTTTGTACCGGGTGCCTGCAGGCTGGTCATACACGTATGTGAGCCGTTTCCTGAAGGACTCAGAGCGGAGCTCTGGGGGTCAGGGGGGCAGATGACAAAAATAAACGCACACGTGATTACAAAGAGCCCGAGTTTTCAACAGCAGCATTATCACCGATGAGAACGGCAGGGATGTGGTGAGCTCCCACCAGTGGGCTTTGAGTTCTGCTGAGTCTAATTCTGGATGCGTGGCCTGAGTTAACATTTCAGGCGACCCCACCGTGCCAGCGCCTCTCCAGCCATGCTTCCAACGCGCCTTGTGATAGCAAAGGGTTGCGAGAGGTTCTCCTGGAAAAGAGTGTCCAAAGAAGTAGCAATGGTTTCTAACTATAAAGTGCTCTCTTTTCTAAACGGGTGCACGAAGTTTTGAGTGTGTACGTTGGGCATGTATTTGACTAGCTGCAGACGGGAGGAGTCTGCCACCGTCTGGGTCTGGCTGGTGTCCCTCGAGTGTGTTCTGCTCGGCTGGACATCGTGTGCGGAAGTGACCAGCCTGGCATTTCTCCCCCATTTAGATCTGCAGATGCCACGTAGTTCAGAAAAAGTCGAAGAGACACAAAAACCTCATCTGCCTCCCCGCACGGAGCGGACGTATTCCAGCTCTGGTTCGGCAGCTCTGAGCTCCTTGGAGAGCTTCCTTGTTCCAAAACTTATATCAAGGTTGAAAGGTAAGATGGATGCCAGGTTCACCTGCGTGGTTAGGTGAGCACAGGTTTCACCTTTTTTTTTAAATCCTCACCTGAGGACATGTTTATTGATTTTAGAGAAAGGGGAAGGGAGGGGGAGAGAGGAAGAGAACAGAAACATCTATGGGCTGCCTTTTGAGCATGCCCTGACTGGGACCAAGTCTGCAATCCAGGCATGTGCCCTGACTGGGAATTGAACCTGTGACCCTTTGTGTTACTGATGAGGCTCCAACCAATTGAGGCACACTGGCCAGAGCCAGGTTTCAACTTTATGATGTGACAAGCAGATACTTCTAATTTTCCCTACTAGATCAAGAATTTTTTAAGTTCGGTTTTTCATGAGAGGCCCAAATGGTTCCAGGTAGAGATCGTCACAGGGGCTTCCCCCTCCCCTGGCCTCCCATGATCCCGTCCCCTGCCCCCAGCCCCTCTTCCCCAACAAAATCACACTCTTGATCAGATATGATCAAGAAAAGCCAGTCTGTGTGCTTCCATTTCAGGGCCCAGAAGTATTAGAAGCGATTTGGATGGGCTATCTCACCTCCCTCTCCCTCCCCTCACTTCCACTTTTTCCACTGCCTCTGCATGGAATGATAAGGCCGTGGCTTCTTCCCAGCAATGAGTTGCCCACAATTCTTTTCTTAGTGTCTGTTTTTAAAAATATTTTTTTAATTTATTTTTACAGAGAGGGCAAGGGAGGCAGAAAGAGAGGGAGTGAAACATCAATGTGTGGTTGTCTCTAGCGCACCCCATACTGGGGACATGGCCCTGCAACCCAGCCATGTGCCCTGACTGGGAATTGAACTGGTGATGCTTTGAGCCTGCACTCATTCCACTGAGCCACACCAGCCTGGGCCTCTCCGTGTCTTATTAGATTCCTGGGCCTGCCTTTTCCCTGCCCAGCCCTCCCGTGGTGTGAACCCCACATCCTAACTGAGCAAACTATCCCCTGTGACTGACCACCGATTTCAAATCCTACCACCACCTTGTAGGTTGTGCCCCTCCCCTCCCAGGTCCCCCCGTGCTCACACCAGCTGCTAACGCACTACATGGGTGACTTACTGTGCTCAGTGTTTCCCCCATTAGAAGGTGAGCTCTGTGAGGATAGGGACCTTGATCTCATTTATTTCCGATGTGTATCACAGGTAGAAGTGCCTGGAACATAGTAGATGCTTAATAAATATCTATTAAATCGATCCCTGCGCACCCCTATTTACTATAAATATCTGTATGTCATTCAGAACAGAGGGGTGGGTTTCAGAAATCATTTTACTATTCACTAGGGAAAGCAATACAATAAAACATCACCTAAAATGACCTACAAGTTTACATGGACTGTATTTTCCCCCATTGTTGATATTAAGATAAAAGTAAAATGAGAAGAAATTGTGTCATACGATGGATTTATGTGATATGTATTTTTCAGGGTTCAGTTTTCAAGTCATTTCACATTGTTTTATGGGCCCCTCTCTGTCAACCCCAGCTCCCCACCCCCACTCCCAGTCTAAACTATCAAAGTTTTAATAATCTGGCCACACGTCTCTTAAAAACTCTCTCTTTCAAGCATCAAGGGGCCCTCCAGCCCGGAGCCGGCCCAGGAGAGCGACAGTCCCGCCCACACTATCTTCATGCTGGTATCTAGGTCCGTGTAGCTTTGACAGCTCGCCCTTCCAGCTTCCAGGTTCTCTCATTTTCCGCCTTTCTGAAAGAGGCAAACTTGGAGAAGGACATTAAAGCTGATGATGGCTCAGCAGAGAGAAGAAAAAAGGTCCCTTCACAGGGAGAATGTTGAGAGCCGAGCCTCGGAAGCAGGCAGAAGACAGACCATCTCCAGGTGACAGCAAGCAGACTCGCCTGGCAAGGTGGGAGGACTTTCGTCCCATAAGGAGCGGGGAGCAGGCGGGTGCATGGTAAAGGCAGGGGCTTTGCTAGCTGGTCAGAGATCCAGGCTTGTTTTTGTGGCTTTAGAAGGGGCTAGAGGCTTAACCGTGGACAAGACCTGGAACCTGGGGAGCATAGTGCTTGCCCAGGGCGGGTTAGAGGAGCTGAGGGCACAGGATACATCTCTGGGCCAGCAAGCAGGAGCAGCGGCTGGGGAACCAGGAAGACACCATGTCTAAGAAGGGCTCGGGAGCCAGTCACGGGAAGCCACGCTGCGGGTAGTGACCCGCAGATTGGAAGCAGAAGCAGAAGCAAAAGCTGTACAGAAACCACACTAGGTCGTTCCATTCCAGCATCTGGAAGCTTCCCTCTCTGGGCATCTTCTCCAGGGCTCTGCAGGGCAGGGGCCAACCCCCCAACACTCAGGTCGCTGAGGCTGTGAGGGACGGCAGGAAGGGCAGCGCCTGGCCGA